CTCCTGGGTAATGCAAATGGCTAACTTGCTCAGATGCTAACTGAAAGGGTGGAGGTTAGAATCCATTTGGAAGCAACTGGGAAGAAAAGCCTGATGATGTACTTCCCAAAAAAAAGTCATAGAAAATATATTTCTACTCTGACACACCAGGGATTGTCATGAGTCAGAACTGATTGGTGGCAACTTCTTAAAATGAAGATCCATGTGTAGATGGAGTCCAGGAAGCCTTTATTCTTATGCAGCTCTCTCAGCTTTTACCCTTCTATCACCACCTCAATTTTAGGCCCTGACCACCCACAGCAGGTGTAGTCCCCATAAACCTGGCTGGAATGTCTCTGAGAGGGGAGGTTATCCAAGACCATGGGTTAAGACCGACTTCCTGCCTGCCACTCTGAAGGAGATAAAGTCTCTTGAGATACTGCAGACACAAGAAACTATTTATCCTTCCACTCCTCCTTGTCCCCAGACATATCTGATCAGGGAACTGGCAAAGAAAGATAACCAGAACTGAGTGCAACATTCCACCTTATAGTCAGGGACCTTCAGACTCCTAAAAGGGCCTAAGGAAAGATAGGCAGCAGTCCATCTGTCCTTAAGCCTGGTGATTCCTCCAACTGCTGCTTCACAACTACTGTAACTTTTACCCTCTCCTTTCATGTAGGTTCCCCCAGGAGAAAGGCCCCAGAATCAGAGTTAGTAGTCAGTGCCTGGTCCAAACCAGTTCATTCCTGGAAAGGATTTCCAGACAGCCATGAGGAGGATAAAAAGCTAGGAGATAAAAAGCTGACTCTAATCCTCACAGGAACAGTTGCTCACAGATGTGGAAATGGTTACCTGTTAACTTGCTGCTTATACTGGGGAAGCAGCACAAGTCGTAGACCTTCCATCTCCATGGGGATATTCTCTCTACACACCCTATGTCCTCCCTTCACATTTCATAGTCCAGCTTAATACACATGGAGGTGTAGTATGTATGGGGAAGGGGTCTTTACAAAGCTCATGGAAAAATGGAATGAAAAGATGAAGGAATTTTATGAAGACACCTTGTATATTAGTCATCACAGGATGTGTGTTCTGCTCCCTCACTTTAGTTTCTCCTATATATGCTGACCTCTGGTGGTGGTATTCTGAACTGTACCCTCCCTTTCTAATAAACCCAATCTTAGAAACCCTGTGCAGGGTCGCTATGAGTCAGAACTGACTCCATGGTACACTACCAGCAGCAGCAGCAGCAGCAGCAGGTGATGGTGGTTGTGCCGTCGAGTCAGTTCTGAGCCATAGCGACCCTGTATAGGGTTTCCGAGGAGTGGCTGGTGAGTTTGAACTCCCAACATTTCAGTTAGCAATCCAGCTCCACACCATGACTCCAGTATGTTGTTGTTGTTATATACCGTGGAGTCGGTTCCGACTCATAGTGACCCTGTACAGGGTTTCTGAGGATGTAAATCTTTACGGGAGTAGAAAGCCTCATCTTTCTCCCGTGGAACAGCTGGTAGTTTCAAACTGCTGACCCTGAGGCTCGCAGCCCGACTCATAACCACTTCGCTATCAGAGCTCCTTTATATATCTATATATTGTTGTTAAATGTTGTTGAGTCAGTTCTGACCCATAGCAACTCTGTATAGGAGCGATTGGTGAGCTAGAACCGCTGACCTTGCAGTTCAAATGGATTTTGCAGTCCAGCACATTAACCCACAGCGCCACATCAGCACTCCATATGTGTATATGTATATATAATATATAAGGAGCTCTGGTAGCGTAGTGGTTACGAATCGGGCTGCGAACCTTAAGGTCAGCGGTTCGAAACTACCAGCCGCTCCGCGGGAGAAAGATGAGGCTTTCTACTCCCGTAAGGATTTACACCCTCGGAAACCCTGTACAGGGTCGCTATGGGTCGGAACCGACTCGACGGCACTTAACAACAACAACAACATATATAATATATATATATGTGTATGTGTATGTATATATAATATATATATATATATATATATATATATATATATATATAGTTGTTAAGTGCCATCGTATTGTTTCTGACTCATACTGACCCTGTGTAGGGTTTCCAATGAACAGCTGGTGGGATGAACCGTCAACCTGTGGTTAGCAGTCAAGCACATACCAGGACTCCATATCTATATCTATAAAGTCCTGGTGTGGCACTGTGGGTTAATGTGCCAGACCGCAAAGGCATTTGAACTTCAGGGTTGGCGGTTCAAGGTCACCAGCTGCTCCTCAGAAACCCTATATAGGTCGCTATGGGTTGGAATTGACTCGACATCACTTAACATATGTATATATATGTATAGATAGAGAGATATTAGAGATTGTTGTTGTTGTTAAGTATCATTGAGTTGGTTCTGACTCATAGCGACCCTCTATAGGGTTTCCACGGAGTGGCTGGTAAGCTTGAACCACCAACCTCGAAGTTCAAACCAACCTAGCAGTCAAGCACATTAACCTGCAGCACCACACCAGGACTCCATATATAGCTATAGATAGGTGGTGGTGGTGGTTGGACGCCACTGACTTGGTTCCAACTCATAGCAACCCTACATAGGGTTTCTAAGGCTGTAAATCTTTAGAGAAGAAAGCCTCATCTTTCTCCTGAGGATCAACTGGTAGATTTGAACTGCCGACTTTGTGGTTAGCAGCCCAACTCATAATCCATAATCGATTTTACTACCAGGACAACTCCATGTATATGAGTTGATGGCACTTAACAACAGATATATACACGACTCGACTGCACTTAACATACACACACACATATATATATATATGTGTGTATATATATATATATATATATATACAATACAACAATACACACATTGATGTTAAGTGCCATCAAGTTGATTCTGAGGGGTGGTTGGTCAAGAATCCATTGCAATACCATGGCCCCCATGTATATATATAATTTATTGTTGTTAAGTACAGTGGAGTCAGTTCCTACTCATAGTGAGCCTGCACAGGGTTTCTGAGGCTGCAAATCTTTACGGGAGCAGAAAGCCTTTCTCCTGAGGAACAGCTGGTAGTTTCGGGTTGGCAGCCCGATTTGTAACCACTATGCTACCAGATTATATATATATATATATACACACACATATATGTGTGTATATATATATATATATGTTAACAACAGCAGTGTGTATATATACACATATATATTATATATATGTACACACACACACACACACATATATATATATACACATACATATATGTTGTTGCTAAATGCTGTCGAGTTGTTTACGACTCATAGTAACCTTATATAGGGTTTCCAAGGAGTGGCTGGTTAGTTTGAACCACCAACCTTGTGATTCAAACCAACCTTGCAGTCCAGTGCTTTAATCCTACAGCACACCAGGACTCCTAATGTATATACGTTGTTGTTGTTAAGTGCCGTTGAGTCCGTTTGGATTCATAGCAACCCTGTATAGTGTTTCCGAGGCGTGATTGGTGAGCTTGAACTCCGGACCTTGCAGTCCAGTGCATTAACATAGGATTCCAATAGATATACGTATATATGTATACTGTTCAAACTGACCTTGTGGTCTAGTGCTTTATCCCATAGCACCACATCAGGACTATACACACACACACACACACACACATATACATCCTTTGTTGTTGTTGTTAAGTGCCGTCTAGTAAATTCCAACCCATAGCGACCCTGTATAGGGTTTCCGAGGAACAGCTGGTAAGCTTGAACCAGCAACCTTTCAGTTCAAACGGCTTTATAGTCTGGCGCATTAACCTACAGCACCACACCAGGACTCCCTCAGTCTTGTTGTTATTGTTGTTGTGAAGTGCTGTCGAGTCAGTTCTGACCCATAGCGACCCTGTATAGGGTTTCCTAGGAGCAGCTGGGGTACCTTAAAATATATACACTGAAAAAAAAGCTTTGCCATTGTGGAGACCTATATGGTGCTTCCTCCAAACGTTGGAAATAGAAATACCATATAACCCAGCAATCCCTCTACTTGGTATATAGCCTTAAAAAAAAGAGCCATGACACGAATAGATATATGCACACCTAAGTTCATCACAGCACTATGCACAATAGCAAAAAGATGGAGACAGACTAAATGCCAATCAATAGAGGAATTGATAAGTACTTAACCATTGTCAGAGCTCCTGGAGGTTCAAATCCCAGCTCTCTCTGTACCTTTCTAGCATAGTGACTTTGGACAAGTTACCTAAATTGAACATACATATCTTTAAAATGAAGATAATAAGTATCTCAGTGGGAGAATTGTAAAATGCATAGCACCAACTGTGCCCTAACATAGAGTAGGTGCTCAATTAAAAAAATTTTTTAAAGCTTGTCACTTCTTCAATAATGGTGTTTTGTTCAGTGTGTGGACTCAATGTATTTTTTTGTATTATAATAAAATGTACATGACACAAAATTTACCTTCATGACCTTTCTCAGTGAGATTATTAAACTCTGAGAAATTTTATATAAATACTTTCTGATTCTGAATTTGGAAAATGAAGCTAATTTTAATTATGGACTGTGAAGGGTTGTGTGCCTCTCTCTGTCCAGAGGGCTGGAGATCCAAATCCTGAAACTGTAGGCTAGAAGGAATTTTGGGTACTACTGAATGGCTCTGAGCACTTGAACAAATTTAGGTTTCCAGACTGAGAAGGACTAACAGGGTCCGGCACCTTTTTTCAGGATCATCAGAGGGCCGAGGTTTGAATTCAGGCATCACTGGTTTCTCATCGGCCCCCTCCTCTGGCTATTCAGAGAAAAGAGGAGGTGATTGAAGAAGCTGGAGGTTATGAGATTGGTTCTCTGCTCCTCCCTTTTCTTCTTTGCTTTTCCCCACAACCACCCTCTCCCCCACAGCAGTCGTCTCCCCCACAGACACAAGGATAGGAGAGAGGGTTGGGGAAAGTTGGGAACTGAGGGATCCAAAGGCCCACAAAGCCCAGTATCTGAAGGAAACTCTGAGAAGGCATCTGTTCTTCTCCTGCGGCCATCCTTCAGCAAGATGCTGGGGACGCTGGGACTTTGGGTACTGCTTCCCGCAGCTGTGCAATGTAAGTGTCTACAGGGAGGGGCAGATTCTCTCTACCCACCTAGTGAGGGAAAGGGCCACTGAAGTAGCAGCTAAGGGTGGTGAGCTGGGTGGGGGGGTCAGGTTCCAGGCCTCTGCTGACCCCATTTGCTTCTGTGGCTTTAAAGGCTGACCCTGGGATATAAAAAGTCTGGCCTTTCTTTTGGGCTGCCGGTTTTTGTCCGTGCACTCACTCGCATCTTGAACCTCTCTTTTTCCCACCCTGGGCTGCAGCACCCCCAAGCAGGCGGGCCTGTGTGTTCTTTGAAGCCCCCAGAGTTCGGGGAAGCACAAAGACACTGGGGGAGCTGCTAGGTGCAGGACCAGGGTCCCCCAGGGTTATCCGCTGCCTCTACAGTCACTGCTGCTTTGGGATCTGGAATCTGACCCAAGACCAGGCACAGGTGGAGATGCAAGGTGAATGCAAAGTATAAGGCAGTTGATAGTCATGGTGGGATACAGGTACATCTTTGGGTGGGTGGTGGCAGCTGAGGGGGAAGGGGAGAGTGGAATGTGTGGAGGGAAGGAAAGGCCTGTATAAGATGGTAAGGATGCCTCTGACAGGGGAAAAATTGATTCTTCTCTGTGCCCGGACGCCATTACTCTTTCTCACTCTCCCCTTAATCCCACACCATCAGGATGTCGAGACAGTGATGAGCCAGGCTGTGAATCTCCCCATTGTGACCCAACTCCCAGAGCTCACCCCAGCCCTGGCTCCATTCTCTTCACCTGCTCCTGTGGCACTGACTTCTGCAATGCCAATTACAGTCATCTGCCTCCTCCAGGGAGCTCTGGGACTCCTGGTTCCCAGGGTCCCCAGACTACCCCAGGTAGTCATCCTCGTGGGTGTTGGAGTTGAGTAGGGGCTAGGGCCCAGGTTAGGACAAGCGGTAGAACCAAGGGCCAGTTCTCACCCTTCCCCCATCCCATGTTTCCCATGTTTCCCTTTCCTGGCCTTGAGAAGTTGGTTGCCCTGGTGACCGGGAGATATGGGGGCTTGTGACCAGGACGGGGGTGGGTCAAGAAGCAAGCGCTCTGAAGAAGGGGAGAAGAGCTGTGGGAGGGTTTGAAGCCGGATTCACCAGCCTGCGTTCTTGCTTTGATGTCCAGGCGAGTCCATCTGGATGGCGCTGGTGCTGCTGGGGCTGTTCCTCCTCTTCCTGCTACTTCTGGGTAGCATTATCTTGAGTATTAACCTGCCCCATCCCTCCCTTGTGACCCCACAATACTTCACCAAAGCCCTGACCCACTCCAGGATCCCCTGACTCCATGACCCTGGGATTTCTATCTGACCTTATTACCTCTCAAAAACTCCCTTTCCACCAATTCCCCTTCCCTGTTCCCGCACCTATGCACCCTGACCCCGACTGAGGTCCTTCTCTACTCCAGGCCTGTTACAGCGAAAGGCCTGCAGAGTTCGAGGGGGGCCAGAGCCAGAACCAGCTTTAGGCAGAGACTGGAGTGAGGAGCTGCCGGAGCTGCCAGAGCTGCCAGAGCTGTGCTTCTCCCAGGTGCCCAGGAGGGAGGGAAAGGCTCCCCACCCGGTGCTTGTGGAGGTTATTGGGTGAAGAAGTTTGGCCCTGGCACTAAGTCAGAGGCCACAAACCCAGCACCATGTCCCCACCAGGTCTTGCGGGAAGGAGGCCACGCTGTGGTATGGGCTGGACGACTGCACGGGGAGCCGGTAGCTATCAAGGTGTTTCCTCCAAGGGCTGTGTCCCAGTTCCGAACTGAGCGAGCACTGTATGAGCTGCCAGGCCTAAAGCATCAGCACATTGTCCGCTTTATCACTGCCAGCAAGGGGAGCCCTGGCCCCTCGCCAGGTGGGCCCCTACTGGTGCTGGAGCTGCATCCCAAGGTAAGGAGCTAAGAATGTACATATATGTGCATGGCGGGGCAGGAATGCACATGTGTGTGTGGGGGGAGTCCTACACTGATGCGGGGCCTGTCCATGTTTATTTTTCTGTCTTAGATTTTTCTCGTCTCTAAAACATTAAAGCCAAAAACAGTATACATTAATGTTTTTATAGATAAAGAAATGGAGAAATTAAAACAATTAATATTCCTAACCTTAAAGAAAGCCATTGTTAAAGAAATACCTACAGGTTTAGCCCACCAAACTCATTCATATATTCATTGAACAAATATTTACAAGGTATGTGTCAATATCTGTGTTAAGTTGTGGGAAAAACACAGGCAGTCCCTGTATTTACCGATGTTATAGACTAGTAGGAAAGACAGAAATGGACTAAGTAAGCACAAAAAAATATGTAAAATGTCAACTGTGCTAAGCACTACAAAAGAAAGGGCCATGCTACCTGTCTTTGTTCTCTCGTGCTGCTAAAATGAACACCACAAGTGGATGACTTTAACAAACAGAAATGTATTCTCTCACAGTCTAGGGGACTAGAAGTACCAACTCCTCGGAGTGCCTGACAACTCTAGGGGAAGGCTTCTCTCTCTGTCAGCTCTGGGAAAGGTTCTTGGCTCCTTTCAACATCTGTGAGCCTCAAGTTCTTTGGAGACCTATATGTGTTTGACATCAATCTTCACATGAGTCTAGAAGGTTCTTATTTGCAGAGACCCTGGGTCCAAAAGACACCCTCCACTCCTGGCTCTTCTTTCTTGGTGGTAGTCAGGTGCCTGTATCTCTGCTCACTTGTTTAATCTTTTATATCTCAAAAGAGACTGATTCAAGACACAGCCTAATCTTGTAGATTGCATCTTGCTTTATCACACAACTGCTTCTCTCTAATCCTGCCTCATTAACATCGTGTGGTTGCTGTTAGGTGCCATTAAGTCAGTTCTGACTCATAGTTAACCCTGTGCACAACAAAATGAAACAAACATTACAAATGAAATTGTAATATTTGAACCCATTGTTGCTGCCACTGTGCCCATCCATCTTGTTGAGGCTCTTTCTTTTTTTCGATGACCCTCCATTTTACCAAGCATGATGTCCTTCTCTAGGGACTGGTCCTTCCTGACATGTCCAAAGTATGAGAGAGGGAGTCTCATCATCCTTGCTTCTAAAGAGCATTCTGGCTATTCCTCCAGGACAGGTTTGTTGGTTCTTCTGGCAGCCCATGGTACTTTCAATATTCTTTTTTTTTTTTGTACTCAGAGTTATGGGGTTTATTGGAAGTTAACAGGTTAATTGGAATTTAACAGGTTACAAATTGGGTTCAGAAATGCTCAGGGCACAGTTGGTCCAATCAGCTGTTGATAAATGCCCATAGGGCACACCACTCCACTGTAAGCCTCAGCCTGAAGGCACTCAGCCAAGTTAGCTCACCCATTTAAGTGCTTGGAGGCACCCCACTCTACAAGCAGCTTCCTGCTCAAAGTCACTCAGCTGTACTTGCTCCGTGGGATGGGCAGTCTAGTGCGCTGTCTTATGCTCTGATGCTTGGTTCTGTTGCTGCTGCTCTTCCTCTGCGGTAACAACTTCCTGTCCCTGGGTCAAGGAAATTCAATGCATAGAATCTCTCTCAGGGTCCAAGGACACACTCTTCTTCTTTGAATCTCCTCTCCTGCTTCTGAGATGGCTCATTTTAAACCACATTAGAGTTCCAAGTTTTCACAATTACACTTAACTCTGTTAACATGCACAGCTGAATCATGTTATCTTGTCAGTATTTTCTCCCACCTTATTCAGACTCATCAGAAAATGAGTCATTTGGTGAGAGTTCCACCAATTCACTACAGAAACAAAAATAACATGAGCCAAAGATATGAAGAGACATCTCACTAAAAAGAAATACAGATTATAAAGAAATGTATACAAAGATGTTCAAAATCATATATGAGAGGGCTTCAAAGCATGAAAAAGTGGAATTAAAAGATAATGGAATTGTTCCATGAGCCTTTTGAAGCCCCTTCCTATTGTACATTGAATTGTGTCCCCTAGAAAGATAAGTTAAAACCCTAATCCCTAAACCTGTGATTGTGACCTTGAAGATGTTTATTATTTCCTTGAAGGTGTTACTGGTTAAATTGTGGAGGCCATAACAGAGTAAGGTGGTTCCTAACTCCTTATGAGTAATGTCTTATATTGTTGTTGTTGTTGTTAAGTGCCATCGAGTCGGTTCCGACCCATAGCGACCCTGTACAGGGTTTCCATATAGAAGAGACAAACAGACATGGAGAGACATACAGGAACAAAGTCACCAGGTGAGGATGCATCTAAAAGCCAGAAAATGACAAGCACCAAGGGCTACCACAAATTGTAAGAGATAAGGAAGCATCATCTCTGAGTATAGACAGACAACCTAAATTCAGACTTCTACAGATTTATGACACAATAAATTTCTGTTGTGTAAAGTAAAATAAATAAACATTTCTCAAATTAATGGAGGGAGTTACAAATTTGGACTTGGGTATTATATTAACCAGGTCTTCCCAGAGAATTGACTCACATGGATTGGTTCATGGGGATTAGCGCATATGGAAGCTGTAAAAATCATAGGGCAAACTGGCAGTTTGGAAATGCAGACAAGAGTTGATCTTGTAGCCTTGAGGCTGAATGAATGCTTTTATTCTCTGGGAAGCTTCAATTCTTGCTTTTGAAGCCTTCAACTGATTGGATGAGGCCACCCACATTATCAAAGGTCATCAATCTCCTTTGTTGAGGACATAGAGAGAGGGATACTTTCAATATTCTTTGACAACATAATAATTCAAATGCATGGATTCTTCTTTGGTCTTCCTTATTCGTTGTCCAACTTTTATATGTATATGAGGTGGTTGAAAATATCATGGCTTGAATTGCTGTTGTTATATGCCATCAAGTTAGTTCCAACTCATAGCAACACTGTATAGTGTTTCTGAGAGTGACTGGCAGATTTAAACTGCTGACCTTGCAGTTGCAAGTCCATTGCTTATCCACACCAGGGCCCATGCCTTGGGTTAAGTGCACCTTAGTCCTCAGATTGACATCTTTGCTCTTTAACACTTTAAAGAGGTCTTTTGGAGCAGATTTGCCTAATGCAGTACATTGTTTAATTTCTTAACTGCTGCTTCCATGAGCATTGATTATGAATCCAAGCAAAATGAGTCTTTTCTCCATTTATCATGATATTTTTTGGTTCAGTTGTATTTTTGTTTTCTTTACACTGAGGTGCAATCCATACTGAAGGCTGTAGTCTTTGATCTTCAGTATTTCAAGTATTCTTCACTTCCAGCAAGCAAAGTTGTGTCATCTGCACATCGCAGGTTATTAATGAGTCGTCAATCCTAATGCTATATTCTTCTTCATATAATCCAACTTCTCAGATTATTTGTTTAGGAAACAGATTGGATAAGTATGGTAAAAGTATACAACCCTGGCACATACCTTTCCTGATTTTAAACCGTTCAGTGTGCCCTTGTTCTTTTCTAACTACTGCCTCTTGAGTCCAATTGTTCTTGTTGTTAGGTGCCATTGAGTTGGTACGGACTCATAGCGACCTTATGCACAGCAGAATGAAACACTGCCCGATCCTGGGCCAACCTCACTATCATTGCCACACTTCAGCCTATTGATGCTGCCACTTGGCCAATCCATCTCACTGGGGGGGTCTTCCTGTTTTTCTCTGACCCTCCACCATACCAAACATGATATCCTTCTCCAGAAACTGGTCCCTCCTGACAGTATGTCTGAAGCATGAGAGACGAAGTTTGGCCATCTTGGCCTCCAAGGAGCACGCTGGCTGCACTTCGTCCAACACAGATCTGTTGGTTCTATGGGCAGCCCATGGCACTTTCAATATTCTCCTCCAATATCATAACTCAAAAACATCAATTCTTCTATGGTCTTCCTTATTCACTGTCTAGCTTTCGCACTCATATAAGGTTATTGAAAATACCATGGCTTGGGTCAGGCGCACCTTAGTCTTCAAGCTGACATCTTTGCTCTTCAACACTTTAAAAGGTCTTATAAAGCAGATTTGCCTAATGCAATACGTCCTCTGATTTCTTGACTGCTGCTTCCATGAGTGTTGATAGTTGATCCTTGGCAATTTTCAATCTTTTCTCCATTGTTAAGAATGTTGTTTATTGGTCCAGTGGTGAGGATTTTTGTTTTCTTTACATTGAGATATAATCCATACCTAAGTCTGTGCCCTTTGATCTTCATCAGTAAATGTTTTAAGTCCTCTTCACTTTCAGCAAGCTAGGTTGTATCATCTGCATATCGCAGGTTATTAATGAGTCTTCCTCTAATCCTGATGCCACGTTTTTCTTCATATAACCCAGCTTCTCGGATGATTTGCTCAGCATACAGGTTGAATACGTATGGTGAAAGAATACAACCTTGTCTCACACCTTTCTGAATTTTAAACCATTCAGTGTTCCCTTGAGTCCAATTAAGTGTCCTGAAATTGCTATTCTCTACAATGTTATCCATAGTTTGCTCTGCTCCACATAGTCAAATGCCTTTGCACAGTCAATAAAGCACAAGTCTTTATGTTTTAAGAAACTTCTTTTTGGTATTCTCTGCTGTCAGTCAAAATCCATCTGACATCAGCAATGATATCCTTCATTCCACATCCTCTTCTGAATCCAGCTTGAATTCTTGGCATTTCCCTGTGGATGTACGCTGCAACCATTTTTAAATTATCTTCAGCAAAATTTTACTTGCATATGATATTGATATTGCTTGATGGTTTCTGCATGTTATTGGGTCACTGTTCTTTGGAATAGGCACAAATATGGAGCTCTTCCAATTGGCTAGCCAGGTTGCTGTCTTCCAAATTTCTTGGCATAGATGGGTGAGTGCCTCCAGCACTGTATCAGTTTGTTGGACAATTTCGGTTAGTATTCTGTCAATTCCTAGAGCCTTGTTTTCACCAGCTTGGATTTCTTCCTTCAGTAGTATTGGTTCTTGATCATATGCTGCCTCTTGAAATGGTTGAACATCGACCAATTCTTTTTGGTAAAGTGACTCCTTGTATTCATTTTTTTTTTCTTTTGATGTCTTCTGTGTCCTTCAATATTTCACCCATTGGTTGGTTGGTTATGTGACATGGAGCTGGTTCCGACTCATAGCGACCCTATGTAGGGTTTCCGTGGTTGTAAAATAGAATCCTTCACTATTTCAACACGAAGCTTGAATTTTTTTCTTCAGTTCTATCAACTTGAGAAATGATGAGTGTGTTCTTTCTGTTTGGTTTCCTAACTCCAGGTCTTTGCACATTTCATTATACTTGACTTGTCTTCTCAAGCTACATTTTGAAATGTTCTATTCAACTCTTTTTCTTCCAGTCACTTTAGCTTTTGTATGTTCAATAGAAAGTTTCAGAGTTTTTCTGATATCCATTTTAGTCTTTTCTTTCTTCCCTGTCTTTTTGATGACCTTTTGCTTTCTTCATTTATGATGTTCTTGTTATCCTCCCCAAACTCCTCTGTTCTTTGGTCATTAGTGTTTAATGTATCAAATTTGCTCTTAAAAAAGATCTCTAAACTCAGGTGGAATTATACTCAAGGTGGTATTTTGACTCTTGTGGACTTGTTTTAATTTTCTTCATCTTCAGCCTTATATGAACAATTGGCCTCATAGAGGTGAAGATTCTTACAGATAGGATAATTACATTAGATTATAAAATGGAGAACAGCCACACAAAGTGGGAATCATGACTTAGCCAAGTTGATATGTGTTTTAGGGAGATAAATTCAATTCATAACAGTACTATTATAGAGAATAAATTATGAGACTTGGCTTAGCCTGAGGGGCATGGAAGCCTTTATCTAAGAATTAATGACTGAGCTGCATCTGGAAGGAAGATAGAAATTAATGGGAATGATGAGTTCTTTGGAGATCTACAGGTGTCTTGGCATCAGTCTTCTCCTGGATCTGGAAGGTTCTCCTGGCTCTCCTTTCTTAGTGGCGGTAGGTCCTTTCTCTGCTTGCTTGTTTAATCTTTTTATACCTCAGAATAGGACTCTATATAATTAATCCTGTAGATTGCATCCTGCCTCATTAACATTATTGTTGTTGTTAAGTGCTACCCTGTGGAGGAGTTCTGAAGAGCAGCTGGTGGGTTTGAACCACTGACCTTTTGGTTCAAACAGACCTTGGCTCCCGTGCTTATCCTACAGCAACGCACCAGGACTCCATATTAACATTGTAGAGGTGATGACTTTTATCACAGTGGATAATTACATGAGATTACAAAATGGAGAATAATTACACAGTACTGAGAATCATTGTTGTTGTTAGGTGCCATTGAGTCTCGGTACCTACTCATAATGACCCTATGCACAACAGAATGAAACACTGCCCAGTCCTACACCAACCTCACTGAGAATCATAGCTTATAGCTTACTCAAATTGACTCATATTTTTGGGGGGACACCATTTCATCCATAAAATTAAAGGTCTGTATGACTCTAGAGGCAACCCCTCAGCCTCCTTCCTGTTCACCCCTCCATCAGAACTTTTTCTCTGTCCATAGGGAAGACCCTGACTGAATTACTTTGCTTTGCTGTAGTTCAATTTCTTCCACCTATTTTAGTACTGAATGCAGTGATGCTTCCTGAACTTTGTCAACCTGGAACTACTCTGGAATCCCTGGGTACAAATAATTAAGTGCTATGAATGGTTTGAATCCACTGAGAGGTACCTAGGAAGAAAGGCCTGGCAATCTGCTTCAGAACGATCATGACGATTGCAAATACTATGGTATTCTTTTCTATTCTGAATCCCATGGAGGCACCAGAGTCAGAAACTGACTGAAATGCAACTGGCTCTTTTGTGTGTAAAAAAGTACACAACAGAACATTCACTGTTTGGGGTTTATTTTTATCTCTTTTTTTTTGTAATATCAGCTGCTCCACCTACAAAATCTTGAATTCTGATCTCTTTGATCACGTATCACAAGGCCCAGTTCAAAAACAGCTTAAAACAAAAAACAAAGGAAAAACACATAGTCATTCCTAGTTTATGTCCCACAACACTCAGTGTATTCTCCCATTGTCACCCAGCTGGCACCTCTTCTCTTTCTGCTTCTTTCCAGCTCTCTGGGGGCAGTAGTGTGGTGGGTAACTGGGAGTGACTCCAGAATCAAGATTGTTTGGGACCGCACTCAATATCTCTCTCACCAGGTGACTTCCAGCAAGTTTACTTAGATCTCTGTAAACCTACTCATCTGTAAAATGAGAAGAGTACCTACATGCTAGGTACTCTTGGTAGATTGGTAGGATTATAGGAGGCCTACACTGGCACAAAACCTGGCCCACTAAGTGTTCAGTACACTTGAACTATATTTATTATTTTTCCTGTCAATCTGATGGGTGCGTGTTCTCATTCCTCCACAGCCTGTTGCTCTGACCTGGAGCTCAGTATATCTGTGTTGTAGGAGATGCAAGGGGGAAGTCTGCCATGATCTCTGCTCCCTGGGATGGATCAGCCCCCTCCACCTCTGTGTGCCCTTTTTTTCTCTGCTTCTCCCTAGGGCTCCCTGTGCCACTACCTGACCCAGCATACCAGTGACTGGGGTAGTTCCTTGCGGATGGCACTGTCTCTGGCCCAGGGCCTGGCATTTCTCCATGAGGAACGCTGGCAGGATGGTGGGTGAGCTAAGACTAGGAAGTCAAAGGAGTCAGGAACCACACTGCTGTGTTTCTGATTCTCCCTTCGGTTGGAGGGGAAAGATTGGGTCATAAGAGAGACTCTTCATTCTTGGATTCTCCCATAGGTCAATATAAACCAGGTATTGCCCACCGAGACCTTAGTAGCCAAAATGTGCTTATTCGGGAAGATGGATCATGTGCTATTGGAGACCTGGGCCTTGCATTGGTACTCCCTGGTCTTACTCAGCCCCCCGCCTGGACCCCTACTCCACCTCAAGGTCCAGCTGCCATCATGGAGGTGAATACTCTGGTAGGGGAAAGGCCCCAGGATGCTGATGGAGATGTGACACTTGCTGTGGCTACAGTACAGCCGTGCCTGGGACTTAGTTGAGTCTGTAGTCAAGGAGATGTTGCATGGACCAGTATTGTGGGGAGGGTTGCCATGAAGGTGATTCTTGGTCCTCCTCACCTTGCTCTCCAGGCTGGTACCCACAGGTACATGGCACCAGAGCTCTTGGACAAGACTCTGGACCTACAGGACTGGGGCACAGCTCTCCGGCAAGCTGATGTTTACTCTCTGGCTCTGCTCTTGTGGGAAATACTGAGCCGCTGTCCAGATTTGCAGCCTGGTAAGAATGAGTCGAAGGAACCCTGCTGGTGCAATGGTTAAGCTCTCTGCTAGCTGAAATGTTGGTAACTGGAAGCTACCAATTGCTCCACTGGAGAAAGCTATGGCAGTGTGCTTCTGTAGAGATTTACAGCCTTTCGAACTTTATGGAGGAGTTCTACTCTTTCCTATAAGGTTGTTATAAGGGAGAAGTGACTTCACAGCAATAGGTTTTAAGGGTGGGTGGGAGAGTGGTGCCCCACCCACCCACTCTACCCCTACCTAGTCCTGACCTGCTTCCCAGGAAGCCCTGCCCTTCTCCCCATTTGTCTCTCTACATAGGAAGCACCCCAAGGGCTAACTGTCTCTGATCCCCTGTGCCTTCTCTCAGACAGTAGACCATCATCTTTCCAACTGGCCTATGAGGCAGAGCTAGGCAGCAGCCCTACCACCTGTGAACTATGGGCCTTGGCAGTGGAGGAGAGAAGACGCCCCTACATCCCACCTACCTGGCGCTTCTTTACCGCAGTAAGAGATCTGAGGCTGGCCAGCTGGGGACCTGGAGAGTCGGGCTGGGCATGGACTTCTCTGCAGAGCCAGCCCATCTACTCTTACCTTCTCTCATTTCCAACCACACCTTCACTCACGTTCAGCCAGAATCAGGCAAATTTGCTCAAACTTCCTTTCACCCTCTTGCACCCTAAATCCCACACAACCATTCTGTGCACCTGAGACACCTATCTCCTGATTGCCCTACTCTGGTCTCTCTTAGTCCTCTCCACCCTTGGTTAGCCCTTTTCCTAGTCCCCTTCTCCAGGAAGCTTTCCCTGACTTTGCTCCTTACTTGAGTTCAGCCCCTAAGATAGTTCCTGTCCTGGTACATTGAAACCCCAAATCCAAGTCTAGTTTTGTCTTATTCTGTCTTATCTATCCATGTTTCTACGAGTGATTCAATAAAAGCCAGGCATTGCCATAAAGGGTTAAAGCAGTGGCCTCATTGTGAAATTTCAGGGATCTGCACAATTTCCTAACATAATGCTACTCCCCTGCTAACCAGTCTGAGATTTCCAGTACACAAGTATCTATTGGGGTCAGATAACAGAGGACCAGGCATTGTTTCCCTAAGACCCTTGTTGCTTGAGAGGAAGGAGAATCATTCCCCATTATCATGTTAAGTTAATTAGCATGATGGTGCGCAGATGAAAAAAACACCCAAAGAGCCTGCTATAGGGAGTAAGATACAGGAGGCTTGGACTCCAAGGCAGGGGAGGTGAAGCATGTTCTAGAAAAGCTCAGGAGTGGAGTGTTGAAAACGGGATTGGTAGACACTGAAGATGCCCTTTAAGCCCAGAATATGGGGCCACACAGGATCCATGGGTGAAACCTGCCTCCTGGTCACCCTTCCCAGGAACCTGGTGGCCTGAGGGAGCTCCTAGAGGACTGTTGGGATGCAGACCCTGAAGCACGACTGACGGCTGAGTGTGTGCAACAGCGCCTGGCTGCCCTGGCCCATCCTCAGGAGGCCCACCCCTGCCCAGAGGACTGTCCACATGGCTGCCAACCTCTCCTCCCAGAAGACTGTCCCTCAACTCCTACCCCCTGCCATGTTCCCCCTGTAGGCCTCGGCTGAGTCTGTCACTGCCGTGTTCAGCAAGGCCCTTACTCCAGGAATCCTTCACCTGCCTATACTATGTTTCATGTTTTAATATGCAGTTTATGTGTAATCTGTGTACATGCAGACATAAATACAGTGGTCGTATGCCTGCCTGGTCTGCCTCACCATTGATATGCTTATCTGGTTTGCCAAGTGGCAAATCCTTGGGCCCTTCTGTGACCATCGAATCCTCTGCAGTCCTGACCAGTGACTGGGGGTGGTTGTGCACAGGAAACAAATACTCAGCTCTCCTAAATCCACATCGTGGGATCTCCCTCTCTGTTCCTATGATCCTGAGCTCGTTAAGTCCCTCTTCTTTTTCTTTTCTTCCAGAAGCATTTAATTGGTGGGATCTCATCCTGGAAACTGGGAACAGAAGAGCTAATAAAATGAAATTGCTGACACATATTAACTTGGGCAAAGGGGAAAAAATGAAATTGCTGCCCTGAAGGTGTTCAGAGACCTGAAATTCACTTTGTTGGGGTCCTGTTCAATGTTCTGGGAGACAGGAGAGGCACATTGTGGGCCTGCATGGGTCAGGGAAGGCCTCACAGAACACAGGATGCTTGAGTTGAGTACTGAATAAACAGGAGTTTCTCAGAGCATATGGGGCAGTAGGGCATTCCTGACCCAGTGAGGTGTGATATCACATGGTACATTAAGAAACTACAAGCAAGCTTCAAGGCAAAAGTATAGGGTGTGTGTGGAAGGGAGGAGAGATGACATGGAAAACTGTAGGCAAGGCCTTTCAAGCCCTGCAGAGAAGTTCTTTTCATGGCTTTTTTTTTTTAATTTATTCATTTCACTTATTTTTGTTGTTTTTCAGAATATATACAGTAGACCAGTAGTTGTTGTTGTTAAGTGCCATCGAGTCAGTACCGACCCATAGCAACCTCATGCACACCGCAAAGAAACACTGCCCAATCCTGGGCCAACCTCACTACTGTTGCCACGCTTGAGTCCATCGATGCAGCCACTTGGCCGATCCATCTAATTGGGAGTCTTCCTGTTTTTCTCTGACCCTCCACCTTACCAAACATGATATCTTCTCCAGCGACTGGTCCCTCCTGACAATATGTCCGATGTATAAGAGACGAAGTTTGGCCATCTTGGCCTCCAAGGAGCACTCTGGCTGCACTACTTCCAAAACAGATCTGTTTGCTCTTTTGGCAGCCCATGGCACTTTCAATATTCTCTTCCAACACCATAACTCAAAGGCATCAATACTTCTACCATCTTCCTTATTCACTGTCCAGCTTTCACAT